GGGGGGCAGCAAACTGGAGAAAAACAACCGTGCAGACCGAAATACGACCTGAAGAAGAACCTTAAATAAGGAATTGGTAGAGGCGAGCAATTAGGCCCGGACAGCGTTGGATCTTTGCAGTCTTATGCCCCACATAAGTAAGTAGCGAAATTGTACTGGATTCCGGGAAAAAAATTTCAGGCCTTCGGGCATTTTGAATTTTAAAAATATGGCAGAAAACAAGGACATACATAGCTCTCATTGAGGCATGGCGAAATTGTATCTCATTGCATAGCATGGGCGACAGGCGTTCGTAAGAGAAGGGGAAGGGAAATTCGGCGCGAGACTGGGTGCGAGGGATTGACTTTCGCGCTTGTCGCGCGCCCGGAATCCCGCTCCCCTCCCTTTCAAACATCTGCCACGCAGGATATTCATCGCCGGAGTTTGCTAGAATTAGTTGAAACGGTATTTTCTTATTCTTTCTTATTTTCTTAATTTTGCAATTACTATGAAAGTTTTTTTTTTTCAAGTTTTGATAATAACCAGCCATTGACAGTGCTGGAAAGAGTACCTTATGCGCTCGAAATTCTGCTGACAGAATTTATACAAACCTACGTGTGTAACTAGGCCCCAATGAAGAGGATGTCCTTTTACGAGGGAGCATGCCAGAAGCCAATAGCTGTTTGTTGGTGTTTGCAATAGGCAAGCAAAAGGCCTTTTGAAAAATGGCTACTGCATGCTCTATGTTGTGTGTAAATTTGATAATTGTATGCCGATCTTACTTAGTAATTACTATTTTCATTTTCACGGTCTTTTTTTTCCTCAGGTTTTGATAATTACCAATAGTGAATACCAATGACAATGCTAAAAAAAGTCCTGCCTCCTCCCCTCGAAATTCTGCTGAAAGAATTCATACAAGCCTACATGTTTAACTAGGCTGCTATATAGAGGAAGTCGTTTTATAATAGAGCATGCAGAAGCCTGAGAAGTCTGTTAATATCTGCACTGGGCAAGCAGAGGGCCTTTTAGAAAATGGCTGCTGCATGCTTTATGTTGTGTGTAAATTTGATAATTTTATGCCTATCAATCGCAAATGCGCGACTCACCTTGATCAGACCATTGTCCTTTCCATCATTCAAGTTTTTCCAGACGCATTCTTTCCAATTCTTAAACGGCATCGGCCTAAGTTCCCATTTTTGACCGGGAGGACCCTGGGCTCCAGTTTCTCCTTTAGCCCCTTCCTCTCCCTTTACACCAGCAGGTCCCTTATCACCAGGAGGTCCCTGAGGTCCAGTCTTCCCCTGCAACCCTTGATTACCTTTAGCTCCATCACGGCCATCACGTCCGTCACGTCCGTCGCGGCCTGGTGCCCCAGGAGTACCATGCTTGCCGGGCATGCCGGGAATGCCACAACCACCATAACAAAACGATGGAGATTGCTAGTTTCAAACAAGAAAATATTAAAAATTATAAAAATTATATCTTGTTATCCTTCGACTGATTGACCAAAAAACTGAGAGGCAGAAATGCCGGTATGTGTACTTTTACTAGAAACAGCTCGAGCTTTCCGCATATAAGAAAAATGCTTGTACAATGGGCTAATTTTTATCTGAAAATTTCAGTTTCCTAAGGTCTCATATTCAGAAAAGGTGGCATTTTTTTCATTTTCATGTGTTCGCTTCTCCTGCCTGCTTCTTAAATAGGTGTTATCTTCACTTCTCCACCATCACGTCTTTCTTCAGTCAAATGTCAGTGGCGTGGCGTCCTGAGAGCTTTCCGCATGTTGCTCGAGATTTCCCCCAAAAATCCCTTAAGTTCTCAAAAAGTTGCTCAAAAGCTCCTCAAAGAACGTCAAAAGTTTCTTTTTGTAGCGAAAGTTGCTCAGAAGTTGTTTAAAAAAATTGTACCGTGGTTTGGGCGGACTGTTTGTTGCCGCTAGTTGCCGTTACAGAAGTCATCATGGCCAGCAGTAACATTAATAAACTTAGCATGATGATCAGTTCGACCAGTTCACTTGACCAGATCTATCAAACGCTCCTCAGCTGCCTGTGGAAAAGAGAATGATGCACTTTAGCC